CAAATAACTTCTTCGCAATTGTCCAAACAAAATATTCAGTAAATACTTTGCAGTGACCTAAAACAAGCACACTGTTTTCTCCACATGCATGGAACAACAGATCTGCTGAAGAACAATCACATCGATCGATGGGCAGATAGATGATACCTTAATGAATTCAATGATTCCCTTTGGTAGTGTAGACTTCGAAAGTCTCTCCAAGTATTCAATAATATCGTTCGTTTGAAGACCTATTGAAACGGCCGCATACAACGAATACGCTGTCAACTGATACTCGTGTATGAATTCGGGACGACAGACAGGCTGCAATATGAGAATCGCTGTTGGAAAGTTATGATGCGAATCAATGAGTTCAGTCTCAATCGAAGAAAGCAGCCAATAAGATATTCGGTTGAGAAACACGCGAATTGATCGCATTACCTCAGAGATAGCAATCAGGAAATCATGCGCATGTTTATAAACGGGACTGAATGATTCGAGGAAGATGTGCCCGTCGGGTGCAACCCACAAGGGCCGAGAGGCATGATCCGGCTTCAGCTTCATTTCATGACGATAGTCTTTTGCTCCGAAATCATCCGTTCGCGATATGTTAATCGTCTGTCCTTCCAGATTCTGGCTAGCCGCTTTTGGTACTGAAATTTTCATCCATAGAAGGGAGCTCATCAATTTTCGAGCGCCGAAAGATATTGAAAAGATGATGAAACAAGATATCTCTGGATAATGAATCTTGCAAATGAAATAACCCACAATGGACAACATATCAAACCATAACAAGTAGATCACTGACCCGTAGTGCCAGTGTCCTTGTCTGAAGAACCGACATTCATACGTTCACTAAAACTACTCGATGATTGCGAATTCTCATCCGCGTTGAAATCTGCATTGTAATGTTCCCATTTCCCACGTTTCCGTCGCTCTTGTTTAGGCGGCATACGTTGTTGCGCTGAATGAAGTTTCATCTTGACAACAAAGCATACTCAACGAATGAAATCACGCCAGTATTGCGAAGGAAATTGTTCAATTCGATTAGGGAAATTTCAAATTCATTGAAAAAAATTGAATCGAAAATTGAAACGTATCATTGTGATTTGGCGGATAATCTCATTTGCACTGACAATGAGATAGTGCGAAATGAATCTTAACAAGATAAATGAATAAGTACCAATTATAACCGTCCCCACTTCAAAAACATCACTTCCCAGCTGATAAAACTGCCCAATAAATTATCGTATTACTCAATAACGAAAAAGTGGCTATATATCAAAATGACCTACGCCACAGTAGCTACTGAGAGGCCGTACTGAACAGCCAATCACTGGCGAGGAACTACAGTGGTACATACACAACGGTAATGGCTTTCGAACCATGATTTGCATGAACAATACGATGAAGTTACACAAACAGAACTAAAACTTTATTGCCTCATTCAATCGACACTTACAATAAACTCACTGAGAGAGGAAGGGACAGAGCGAGTGAGAGAAACAGCGAGCTTTAGGCAGAGTCCGCAATATGATTCGAAACGAACGGAAAAAAAAANAAAAAAAAATTCGAAACCCGCCGATAGTTACTTCGAGTAACGTCACTTAACGTATATGTGAAACGAACATACACAAAATTCATAAGTTTAATTACGAGCTAAACCCTGAACGGGCCACAAATCACTCAATTTCATATGAATTCTTCGAAAGAAGCTTAACAGAATGACTTGACGAGAAACAAAAGAAAAACACAAAAAAACATTATCTTAAACCAGGCTGAGCCTTCAAAAATTTCAAATAAAACGTTCATCAATAAAGATGACAAAAAGAATCAAAACTCCAACGGAACATTCGGAATTAGAAAAAAATTCGACTCGGTTGGTTATCACTGAAAACTTTTGAAGCGACTTGTGAGACATCCGGTAAAATATGTGAAAAGAATACGTTTTGACTCAAGAGAACCATTCAAACTAAACTACTGAATTTGCTTTCGAAATTATTTCACTTTGAAAATTACGTTATTTTAATTGGAACATTTTTAGAACGATTGAGTGGTATTTCATCAAAAGTATTTCAAACATATGAAAGGATTCAATTTAACAAGAAAAATTAGCGATAATCTTTGCAACAGCGATCGTTTACGCTCTATGGTACACAAAGCTCATCAGTCTTGTCTGAGAAAATTAAAAATACAAAAAACTTTTTTTCGGTGATTTAGGTGGCGGCGATTCGATATCGGTGGAACTCTTCAAAACTTTAACAAAGTATTCGTAATAATTCCAATCATCATGATGTATTCAAAACAATAATTTGCAGCCAAAATGGTTATTTACTCCTCTCTAAAATGAGATTCAATATCCAAAGAAATGATCGTCGGATGAATTCAGAATTGCACAGAATTCGATTCCGAATTTGAAATTGCAATTTCGTTTCCATGAATCAAACAAAAACAATAACACAATTATTCTCTTCTGTTGATTATTCCATTCCAGTAGGCAAAAACACGAATATCACATATGCAAAATGCAAAAGTAATTTACAAAGATAGAACAAACATCTTCACTTTTTTTTTTGCTTAGCACAGATTTCTTTCTTTTTTTTGCTGATGGAATTGAACAGTACATAACAGATGAAGAGATAGACACATGACATTGGGCAGTATTATAATCATTTGAACTTTTTTGGTTTCAAAACAAGAATTAACAACAATAATTCATCGATGAATTTGGGAAACTTTCAACGTTCCGAGACAAACAGAAGAAACGAGATTGGGAAACGGTAGGAGTTGTTGCTTTTTTAGCACATTAGCAAACGATTTGAAGATTTGAAGAATGGTCAGAATATGACTGAAAAAAAAGAACATATTCCGGCTAGACAATCGCCAATTGTGATAAATTGGAAAGGATCTTTCGAAAGAGCACGCATGCAGTTTTCAACTATAATAAATGTAAAATGGACTGTTTCGACAACAGATCATTGAATCTCCTGGAAACGATAGCGCACGAGAATGTTTCATATTCAAGGAGTTGCACTACTGCTGTTGCTCGTATCATCGCTTTGCGGTTGTGTTTGCTGATCGTTGATTTTCCAATCCATTCGTTTGCCAGTTTCATACAACTCATTTATTGTCGTTTTCAATTTGCCGTTCTCCTCGAGTTCCAAATATTTTTTGTACAAACGAAACGCAATTCGTGCATCTTCCACTGAATCATGCGTCGTCTGCTGGATACTTTCAGCTATAATCAAAAACGATCATTTTTGAGGAACAAAAAGGAACCAGTTGATTCATCCATCCATCGATAAAATGACAATAATATAAAGAATAAGAGCATCACTACACAATTACTGCAGATTCACCGCATTAACTCGTCTACATCTCATAATGATATTGCTGTTCAATATTCATATCATATCATCTAAAGTCTAGACGACTTCCTGCATTCAGAAAACTCCAGCCAAACAATCAATAGTTCCTCGATAAAGAGCAGAGTGCATCACATTCACAGTGCTTTTTTGAAACAACTGATTCTATGAAAATAGACTTTTTGAATCTCACTCTGAATCATATTCTGCACCTTTCAATAACCTCTTCACATAAAATTACAAACTACATAATTAGTGCGCTTCAAAAGTCATCAAAATTCCATCGCTTCACGCAACTGAAAACAAAATCGGTAATAAGAGGAAGTTAAAAACTTACACAAAAGATACCAAGCAAGAAACTGCAAAGAGATCATTCGTTCAGCTTTCATGTAGAACAGACGAACCGTATCACGCATCTGCTCTGATGGTACCTTAACACAATTATTTCTATATTTATAAGACAAAACACGAGATATTCTGTAACATCCTCAAATCGGACACAATTCTCACTATTGATCATTACAAATATTTCGTCAATTTTTCCTTATCTTCCTTTAGCAGAGCTATTCATCCGAAACAATGCTCTTCCATCCTTCACAACTGTAATCGTTGATTCGCTTTTGATAAAAAATATCTCAACGTAAATGAATAAATCAAACAAAATCAAATCAGAACGAATGCTCACATAAATGCTTAATGCATGAAAATCACTGCTGAGGCCATGCCCAACAAAGATAACGCCTTGTTGAAGCAGATAGAGTAGTTTCAAGTAGACACCCTTCAGGTGGATCAAATGACGTGTCGATAGTTCCGGATCCAGATCTGCCGCTTCGATGCCGCTCCAAGCCGTCAAATAATCACTAACTGTATCACTCGCTGACGTTCTTATGTAATCGTCCAAAAAACAACTGCCATCCTCACGCACACAACTCACTCGTGCCACTGCACGTGTTCCCTCCTAGAATTAATCAATTCATAATATCATCCAAGTGAAATTTATTTCTCACCCAACACTTAACAACTCTACCAAAATCCAATACTGATTCACTTTCAAGCCAATATGACTCTTTTGCTTGTTGTTAGTAAATGAAGGGAGAGCAACGCCTTCATATAATAGTAAAAGGAACGGATTTTGCCTTACTACCATTCAGGCCTGGATCAGTTTTCAGCATTATCCAATCTTTTCTTTTGGATTGAATATTCATTGCTCATCGCTAGCATCTAGCTGATGAGTCGCTAGCATTCACTCATCTAAATGCGCTCTTTGAAAACTGCAGGGAATTACGATCATCGCAGGGGACCTTTTTATTGAAATCAGATCATTCAAGACGCAGATCAGAAAAAATCAGTAAGATCGGTAGTTCGTATAAGCCTGACTGAGACTACCTTATTCAACGCGACGAATTCTGCATCTATTGCCAACAAATCACCCCGTTTCGGAAGAGACTCTTCAGAGATCGACTCAACATTTTGTTGTTGTTCTGACGAGTCTACACTTCCGAAATCAGTTGAGAATACTGAATGAGGAATTGGAGCACGACTTTCAACTGCAATAATGACATGTTTATTATCGCATAAACAATTTTGAACTTTATCGCTTTCAGAAGAAAGCATTAAATTTCAAGTATGTGACATTAAATTTCAAAATGGAAAATTTCCGAGTTCACAAAAACATATAGATTGAAGGGCGATTACCATCGACATTATCACTGTCAATCTGTACATAATATAACATTGATGGTATCTTCCAAGTTGCATCCAAATGAAGGGCTTCATTTTCGGTAACTCGCGTTACGACAAACTCATTGAATACCACCCAATTACGTTCCTAAAAATGATGCATATTCATTCGAAAATGAACTCGTCGTCAGCACATTCAAAATGGGTCATTATCACCTTAATTTCACCTCAATCATATCAATTCTTGATCCACACGAGAATGCGAAATGAAAACAGAAGCTGAAAATATGAATTTTTTTTTAATAAACGAAATCTCCGCAACGTATCGACCGGCTGTTTGGTGAAAATCAAACTAACTTTGCCAATCTTATTCCCCGAAGGCGACAGGAAAGTGCCATTACGATCGTGTGGCTTCACTCTAACGGCCGTAACCAAATGTGTCGGATCGATTTCGGTACCACCATCACCAACTGCAAAAACGGCACATCGCAGAACGAAACACGTCGAAGTTTCTTGTTTGCGCTAAAACATTTGAATCTTTTATCATCCTCATTGCTTCCGCTAAAAATATTACTATTAGTATCCATATTATCATCGTTTCTGGTATTCCAAAAGGCATAATAAAATTACTAATAATAACTCCATAATAATAATACTCTCATTACTCCTCTTTCACAACACCCTTCATTCAACTGATTTAAGACTCACTGAGAAAACCCAATAGTGCAGGATGAACATATAACATAAATGATACCTCAGAAACAGTGCTAATTCCATCAGTTGACTTGATATGTATAGTTGCTGGAATGTAATGTGACCACTCAGAGTCTTCCGTATTGTTGTTGTGACTTGACATGAATGACGCATCTTCACAGTCCGATAGCGCTTCATTCTTTCTAAATGTTACCCACTAAATTGTGACTACATCACAGATACACGACATACACGACCCACCTCCTTACCAAATCACATTTTGAACTGTTTCGTTACAATTCCAATTTCAAAATTTCATCGCCTGTGACTCAGATAGTCTTTCCTAATGCAGTATGAACCATGAACGATTTTGCAGACTGCAGAATCACAGCAAAACTTAATTTCTTGGGAAATTTAAGCTGATGAAGGCGCATAATCATAGTATAAATTCTAGTTATTGTTCGCAAACCTATTCAGGTTAGTAACGTCGAGATTCTACTCGACAAACTCAACAAAAAAGACCATGGAACAAACAACGAACCCATCAGCAGAGTGCGTGTATTTACAAAACGGTTTCTTGCAATCATCGCCGTATCGACAGGTTTTTTGAAATCGTTCAAGCGATGACGACGACTGCGAACTGTTCAGTTTTGGTGGTGGTCGTTTTTCGTATGCCTTCAATTTTACGACACTGAACTATGGGAATGAAAATACACTCACTCACTTGAATGATTCCATTGTACAATTATACATCCACGAATCAACAACTAAGTAAAGTGATACAACAGAAAAATATCATTCGAGTTTATTCTCTTGATGTTATGACTGCTCATGAAGATTATCATTGCGAATGTACAAACTTGAACTCCATTGATTGTAATAAAACGTTAAATTTTACGGCAGACCCGATGACTGCATAAACAGTACTCAACGTATCAACAAAATATCCAAATTCTATCATTCCATTGCAGTGAAACAGAGATATTTGCTAATAAATTACAAAAAACAATAGAATATGACATCATTTCTCGTTCGCTTCAACACAA